GTGGTGGTGAAGGAGGAGGAAAGAAGAGGGCGATGGGTGGGGGAGGGAGAGAGAAAGAAATGGAAGTACCTCGCCCAGCAACCGCCACAATTGGGTGGCTACCTTATTCACAGAGGTATTTGGTGAATGAAGGGGACAGTGCCCCTATCAGGATGGTTTTAGTCGGAAGGATTGCTTATAGGCAGCATTACAGAGGAGTGGTAGTTGAGTGAAGTCGCTGTAGCATCGTCCTTAGGGGATAGTGCTGTATTGCAATACAGCCAAGCCAAGAGTCCGCTAGGTAGCTGCCCTACTGAATAGAAATCTATCAACGAAATCTCAGTTGCTCAAGCTGTATTTCTCTCCCAGGGGGGGTACAAACGATTCTGTCCTGGCGCTATCCTGGCTGGTGTATGTTCATGCACTCGGGACCTGCAGGGTTTGGCGCTGTTATATCGTAGGAGGATGAAGTCTATCTGCAATAGGAGGACCTACTTAATGTCTCTGTTTTATACGTGACTCTGCGTCTTTCTGCAAACCTCCCTCATGAGTTACCTGCAGCCTTACGATCGTCTGGTGCTGGATTAGGGGGTTGTACGGTGACAATTGAAGACCACGGGACGGTATCCTGCTTGACACTGCTCACTCTACTCCACAGCCATGAACTACTTAACAACTTTGCCTAGGTACCTTACCTAGGTTAGTACCTAGTCAAAGATAAAGGAAGAATACCTATGCGCAAAGGATGTCTCCTTCCTGTACTACATTATGGACAAGTAGGTACTTTATTTAAGCACCCCTGAAAGGTTTTGACGTTTGAAACCCTCCACTACTAAGTACTATGCAGCTACCAATACCGTTCAACAAACAGCTGATATAGAGGCTAGTGAGATAATTCGGATTTCTATAGGATACATGCATAACCCCCTGCTTGGGTTATCTGCCTACACCTCATTCAACCCGCGTTCGCTTGGGTCCCACCGTTGTTTCTATGGCATTAATCTTTGGGGCAAGATATTGTGCATCCGAAGACACATCAAGCCACGAGGCTTCTATTGGCTCGACTTTCTTCATAACAAACTCCTGCAAAGCTCCAGCTCCTGGGGCATCCATACGAATAGCGACGGACGAGACCCTTGGCACTCCAAGACAAGAACTCAAGCGTTCAGAGCATGGTTTAGATAAGCCTACCAGGCGGGTTTTCCTTTCGGAACTGGTCATCCTAGATGCCGCCCCAATCATCTGTGGGAAATGGCAGTTGAATGTTGAGGCTTGATCGCCCCGCGCTACAAAGACCATGGAATATTGTCGGTAGAATTCGTCTCTCATTGATTCAGTCTCTTGTCGCGAATACAACTGCAGGTTTCGAGTAATAGAGTTAAGTCCGACATCGATACTGGCTTCTATCTCGGGCATTGGGGGCACTGGAGGTTGTTCGGGAGCCGGGACTGTCTTCTTGGCCCCTTTCTCCTTTTGCGATGAACGTTTCCCCTTGGATTTCTTGATTTGTGTCTGGCGATACTGCCCAATGGGGCTCAGGAGGCTACGGGCGTTAGAAAGTCTCCGTATTGGATTTCATGGCCTTCAGGGAAAGATATTTGTAAGACTTGGCCAGGTTGTAAGCTGACTTACTCGCACAGCAATTCGAGGATGGTGTCTTGATCTTCTGTCAAGATTGAGGGCCTATTCGTGTGAGACATCAAGAGCCTAGAGACTTGAGAGATTATCATACCATGGGACAGTAGAGAAAGGAGTGTCAAGCTGGTGCACAACCTTCTTACGGGGGGCTTGGGAATTGGGAACAAACATGATGACACTCAGTGACGTGAAAGACACTGCAAACAACAAGCGACTTCCGATAAACCCGCTAATTGTAAGCTACTATGTAAAATTGGATGTTCTGCGAAGGGCAGCGTGGCTACAAGAATGACATGAGAAACCTGAAAAAATGCTGCAGCTATTCACAATAAAATAGAAGGACGAATTATGTGGGGCAGGATTTTTGACGGGGAGTTGCTTATTAGCGCCGGGTTACATGTCATAAGCCGCAGGAACAAACTCTGAAAAGGCCAGCTGAATGGCGATCAGTCATTGAAAGGATTTTGGCTAAAGTATGGGTGCCTCTGACAGCTGTGAGTTGACTCTTTACTTACCAAGCTTGCAAAGAGTTGATGTTAGATTGCCTCAATGAAATCAATGGCTTTGGTAAACATTGGATAGACGATGTGGCTTGCACAACTACTGAGGCAACTAAGGCAGACAAACGCTGGGAAAGGCATGAGAGTCCATGGGCAACATTCAATTAAGTGGATGGATCGTGAAATTACAGCTTGCCTACTTACCATAACCCCCTTATTCAAACTCCTTTGAAACGTGTGAAAAATAAGCCACTACTGCTTGAGGCATCGATGCAATTGATAGGTAGGTAGGTAGGAAACATGCAGGCATCGAAAATGAAGCAGCCTAAGGCAGATAGCCGAAGCATGGTTGGTCATCATGAATTGTTGTCGACAAACAACCACACAGATTGGAGTAGAACTGAACTTGAGACAAGAACTTGACCTCCAAATAAATTTACTTATAGTACCTGTATACTTCGCCCGAATTGCAACGCCCAAATACTCCGTCAATAAAGCAATAAATGACGCAGATTCGGCCAAGTTGCTTCTGCCGTCATTTATTCATGATTGAAAGTTGGTTGGATGTTTGATGCCCCACCCAAAGACGCGCGCTCGTTATCATGACCACTCTCGCGTGAATGACCTCGAGTACGGAGTACAAGGTTTTATTTTATTTAAAGTCTTCGCTTCACGTGTTCGCAGGGCTTGGCTGGCAATCACTGTAGCTGGGTATATATCTCTGATTGAGTTACTAATTAATATTTTACCCATACATATATATATACACTTCCCCGTTGAATGCTGCTGTGGCCTCGAGAATCAATCGGCAGTGTAGGTATAAATGCCAAACTTGGTATCTTAACCTACAGTACCGTCCTTGGAGCCAATCGAGAACGCGTCCTTGGTGTAATCGCACTATCCTCACACCTTTTTACCCCGCCCTCCGACAGCAACTGACATCACGCCCAAGCTGTCTGGAAGTGAGCTCCCCACTAAAAGGATCTCAAGTTTGTGCGGAACAACTGTCAGTGCCAAAAACAACTGCAAGGCAACCGGGCGCCAGGGAAATCTTGATCTACCTGACTACCTACCTACCCAGCATACATCTTAGGTAGCTCGACGGCACCAGAGAGATCCTCCATTAGAAATCCCCGAAAGCTTCAAGGCTCCGGCACGCACCATTTTCATCCCTTACCCAGCAGCGGCTGTGAGGGTTTCTCTTATCTCTTATCGCCCTTCCTTCTTCATACTTTGTACCTTACCTGAAAAACCTCCACAGCTTCCAATAGGTACCTGACTAAGGTATATATGCCCGCTCATATTTGCAAGATCAGAAAGAAGGCTGTCTTCTTCCAACAATCTTCTCATTCAACAAGAGAGTATCAAAATTTACCGTCTCGTACTAGTGTCCTTGACAAGGCAAGTAAACACATCCCTATCCTTCTATTTTTCTCAAACGAATGTTTCCCGTTCCCTTTCAAACCCTTCCCATCTTCCTCTGGTGTCGGGCTATACTATCTGCACCCCCAGTGCTCCTGTTATAGCGGGGTATCCACACTAGCAAACCGCGAGCGCGCACTGCCAATCCATGCTCCCCCGGCCTGAACTAAGGTGCCTAGGTACCTTACCTACCTACTAATCCTAGGTATCCTCAGATCCATCTCAAAAGCCTTATCCATCCTATCCATCCAATCCATCCACCTGTTTTCTTATCCGCATCACAATCCAAGTCCCAAAGTGTAAACAGTATTCCTCTGGGCAACCATCTTTCATCCGTTCTTGAACGTCAGGATCTCTTATTCGCATACATTTGCCCACGTCTCCCTTACCCCCCACACTTGTGCTTTGGCTCTGATTCCCTCTCCGAAACTTCTATATCTTCGAGCTTGGGAATCTTGCTACTTTGCCCCGCTACATTTCACAGTTTCTATCAAACCCACATGTTAATTTTGTGCAGCTATCGCCGGGGCGTCTTTCGCGACGGTGTGACGTCTCTGCACCTCCACGCTTTGTCCCCGTTGGCCTCTTCCTACGATTCCGATGGATCCAGCCTCGAGATCTCCCGCCCTCCCAGATCGTGCTGCCTCCGCTGAAGCGAGCTCGACCCGGCCGAATCCCTTTGATGACAGTAACATATCATCTCGCAAGCGCCAACGAACCTCGCTCTCCGGGTCTCCTACCAATTCTCACAGCACAGTGAATCCTGGTCACGACTCTTCTCGCTCCGCCACTCTTGACACTGAACCTGTCTTGCCTCAACCTGGCTCGACAACTGTCTACTCTCAACCAGACACGGTCGCGCCGAAGACTTCAGATACAGGGTCTCCTGTTTGCGACCCATTAACAGAGCCGCCATCGAGCATGGCTACTCTTAACCTGAGAAATGCGCCCGAGAACGACTCAACTTCCTCACCACCTCCTCCACCGAACATGGCCCAGTCAGTTGCGGCTGAGACTACGGCTAATGCCTTCAAGGACCAAGTCAAAGAGAGCGTCGAGGATGCTGAAGTCGCTATGGTGCCACCTCCCCAGAATCTCGGTACTCCACGGTCCAGCTTCTCGCATTCAGCAAGCCCTCCCATCGAAGTTATCACTGTGCAGTCGGACGATGATATGGCTTCTGATCATCAGAGCATTGGGGTTTCAATAGTCGATGATGATTCTGTCATGATCGATCCCATCAACGAATTTCCTTTCAGAGAACCCACAGAGACACTGGAGGGAATGGTGGTGCGTCTCTGCAATTACATTGAAACTCGTAAGACGCATTCTCCTTTCCCTAGGGGGTCTAGATACTAACAGTATAGAATCGTCGATCGATGCAGGAGTCATCTACAAACTCCAACAATGGCTTGGGCGGTATATTGATTACATCACTACTGCCAATCAGCAATTGGTAGTCGATTCATGTCGTCTTAACCTTGTTTTCTGGGTGACATTCCCACGCATTATTACCACTATGGCTGCTCACAAGTAAGCCCATCACGCATGCTCCTGTGTACCGAGACTAACGTTGCACAGGCCTCCGTTTCTAGCAGATGATGTGCTACGGCATCATACCAAGGCCATCTTTTTAGACTACGCCAGGTTGTCAGCATGGTTCGTCAATCAGGATATTCACACGACCAAAGAGTTCATAGCAGAACAGGGAGGCCGGGGACAGCAGACTGTCGAACTTTTCTGCCCATGCTACCTTCAGAACCTCCACTCAATCATCAACCCGCTATTGTTAAGTGATGATCAGTATCAGCATTTTGGGGCCTTGTCCACGACCTTTCTGAAGGCATACCAGGACAGCCCAGGCGGGAGCCTTAGTCGCCTTCTCCAACTGACAAGAGCATTGCTCCAAATTATCCCTACATATCCTCGGTTGACTAATGACCTGGCACCTATATGCTTAGTCGCCTCAGATATCATGGAGGATTCCTGTAACATTGGTACTCCCGAAATTGCTTCCAAAAGCAAACAGAAACTTCTGATAGGTCACACGTTGCTCGATCTGATACACGAAAGATTGGGCATCATGATTGACAAGAGTCCGACGCATCTCGCCGCAGACAGTGTTCTTGTGATCGTTCAAGCTTTGTCAAATATGATCAACATAGCTCTCAAGGGTGATCACGCAGATGCAACTCTCATGTTGGAACGGCACCGCACGGAGTTTCCAGCAGTGCCTCTCAGATACACTGCTGAAGCGATTTCCTATGAATACCGCTTTCAGTTCTTGATCAAACTAATCAAGTCAAGTCAAATGCAACTTCGATTTCAAGGCATGACACAAATGTGCAAAGAGCTTATTGGCTTCTGGAAAAAGCATTGCGACAGCAAAGCCGAAGACGGGGGCCATTATGTCGAACACATTGCGGAATACCTGATCCGGACCGAATTCATCGACTATCTACTAGGCGCCAACTGCCATCCTGAAATTATTGTTGAGGGTGCTAATATCATTGGCTTCATTATTGTGACGAGAAGGTATCGAAGGACGCATATCGATAGGTTTTGGGAGGGCATTACTTCCAGGCAAGACCCCCGTACCGCTGACGCTCTGGCCCGCATGGTCATTCAATTCGCGCACCTTTTTGACGACGACGGGGTTTTGCTTCTCTGTGAGAAGTTCCAAACTCTTCCCATAGACGCATTCACGCCCGCCATCCGAATGCTCTGGGAGGCTGTCATGAAGAATATCGCAGAAAAATGTTCGAATGGGCGCCTTCTGTTGATCCAACCGTACAATTTATGTCTGCGTCTATTGAGGGATTCGTCTGTTTGCGCATCCGGATCGCAAGTCATGTATCCTGACATCCAACAAGCAGCAATGCAGAAATTCGTAGAGCTCCTGAGGTACGGCCCAGATGATGAAGGGAAGCAACAGATCTACCTTGGTTGTCTTCAAGACCTTGCAAATAAGTCTGCACCAACCCTGGGGAGCCTTTGGTGTTTGTTCATCACATTACAATCAAGGGACATGAGCCAAGAGATGCGCTGGCTAGTAGAACACCATGACTTGACAAGACTCGTAATTGAAGAGTTGGAACATGCTATTGGCGCTGGCAGGGCGGCAGGGATTCCGGCGGTTCTCTCGTGCTCTATCAACCAACCTCGGAGAGAGTTCATTGCCAACCTCATCCAGCTTGAGCCACCGTCAATCACCGAGGACCTTGGTGTCAAACTATGGGACATGTTGGTAGGGCCAATGTCCCTTTCACCAGGTGATAGGCGGGTGGGCTGGGAAATCTTGAACAGTGTCCGTCGCAAGCACAAAAATGGTAATTCTTTCCTTCGAGCTTGTCTGACCTACCATCTTCCAGCCCTTTCGTCCGAATACTTCTGTGAGGGCGTGCTTGAGTTTCTAAGAATTGAGATTCTCCCACGCCTCAACGACGATCTTAGCCTTGCTCTCGATGACCCCGAAGCAGTTGCTACGAGTGGCATTGAACAATTGTGGCGCCTCGTTCTCGAGGCCGAAGATGAGACTCTAGTAGACAGGGCCATACGAACTCTCGCAGTTGATGTCTATATCGACAGTCGACTTTTCAACTCTATCCCAACTCTGAGAGCACAATCTGTCCATCTGAAGCTAGCCAGTCGATGCTTAGAGCAGCTGAAAAGTGCTGCCCAGAAGTTGAGAAATGCAAGCCAAGGCACGAACAGCGATGACCAAGTCGTGGTTACCACAATTACTCTACGGCAGCTACAGCAGCAAGAAAGGATTTTCACCCGTTCGTTGAAGTTTCTCCGCTATATTCTTGAAGCCCACCAGTCGAAGCCATCCTTGGCCGCACCTGATCTACGAACACTGATCCCACGAGCCTCTCACGAGGTCCAAGGAGATCCTGCGGGCCTGAAGTACCAGTCCTTCGATGGGGACCAGCAGACTGACATCAAGCCGCTTGTCATTGGGAGGGCGAACACAGCAGCCTCGCTCCTCGCTAGTTTGCGGCAAGAGACTGGGTTCGAGAACTATCGGATATACTACCGAGGCCGACCATTCCTGCCGAGTGAGCAGGATATATGTAGGTCCCTAGAAGATCTATGCGTGCATGATGGCCTTATACTGGTCAGACGTGAGGAGGGTGGCCCCGCCCTCTCCAACAGGGTCAGGCCAGGCGCTTCACCACTAGAGATTGAGATTTCCGCACACTTTGACGAGATGTGGGAGTATTTGAGCATGGATGAAGCACTGGCACAAGAGGCAAGTACCCGCACGTTGGCGATCGGGACTTCGACTGACCTTTCCAGATTTACTACTTTCTCATCAAGCTGCCCACAGATGGCCATATCATGAGGTTGATCAGCAGTGGAACAACGGCATATAAAGATATCTTTCCCTCAGGGCAGCCGTTCAAATCTCTTTACGCTGTCCATGCGTTGGTCGAATATGCTGAGACCCTCCTCCCTAGCCAACTGATGGGTCATCTCAATGGTGTGACCACTGGCCCAGGGTCCGATCATGTGATCCTTCCCGAGGCTCTCAGGACACCAATATCCTTCATCGTACAGGCAATCTCGGACGAGGACATATTCAATGGTGCTTCGGTATTCCTGCGGCTGAAGCTGGCGTCGACTTTACTGCATACCCTTAGGCAGTTTCTTGACAGTATGTTCACTCATCACACACACGTTATTCGGCCTAACAAAGTTACAGGAATCGGCAACCTCAAATGTTCAGTACCGCCGCAGGGACTCCCCCTTCCTGACCCAAACAGGTTGGTGAAAATGCTGTCTTATGCCATAGACTGTCCTGGTGACGTCTCTTCTCCGGTCATAGCAGGAGCGCTTGTGATCTGTCTTCGGCTGAGCATGCTTGATGACAAGTTTTGGGCTGAACTCAGCACAAACCCCGACTTTAACCATACCCTGCATCGTCTTCTACTGATTGATTCCCGCCAGAACATGAGATCAATTTCCGCGAAACTAATTGAAGAGCTTTTTGCCAGTACGAGTATTGCCACTCTCACTAGGGAGACTGACTGTGAAAAATCAGTTGTATCCCATGAATCCTCAATAGTGGGGTATTTCTGGAAGGTCACCAGCGCCATGGTCAGACAAACGACTGAATTTCCCAGCCAGAGCGAAGAACTCTTCAGGTTGGTTTATTTTCTCGTTGCGAATATCAGCGGTCGGTCGCCTGGGTGCTTGAACATTGAGAAGTTTGCCTCTCAAATTAGCCAACTTCTTCTTGAGCATACTACAACCGAGGTAAGCTCAGTCACTCTTGTCATAACGATATTGAGCAAGACAGCTGACCGCATGATCATTAGACCATTGGGCCACCTAGTATAGAAGATTCGCTCGCGAGAGGTCTATCGTTACTGTTGCACACTTGTCTCAGGCTAGATAACTCAGTCGCACAGTCCAAGACACTTCCTAGGTATTGTGCTGCATCTTTGAGTCCCAGAATATATGCTGACCCGGCCCAGTAACCTCGCAATGTCACTTGTTTGGAAGCACCTATACCCTCCTAAAGACCTGCGAAGTGGGCAGCCTGTGCCCAAAGTGATCCTCAACGAAGAGACTCGAGCGAACCTTTCAGATGTGTTATTCACTCTTGTGAAGCACGACCAGAAGAAGATGGTGGCGGTTGTGAAAGCTCTCGAGGAACAAGTTCCATTCTTCGACGATGAAGAGGGTACGTGCTATATTCTAGTAAAAGTGCGAATGCTGACACCAGGTCCAGACGACCACTACATCTACGATCTCAATTACCATTTCGACCGAAACAGAGCTCTTCGAGCCCCTTGTGGGTATGCTGGTCTGCTGAATTTATCCAACACTTGTTATCTCAACTCCTTGATGACACAACTCTTCATGAACACTACCTTCAGGCGTTTCATCCTCGGTTGCCGCATCGACGATCCTGCAAACAGCCAGCAACTCCTATCATACACCCAGAAACTTTTCGGTCATATGCAGGAGAGCTACCGTCGCTTCGTCGATCCGTCAAATTTCGTCCATTCCATCAAAACATACGACGACGCATTGATCGACATTCACAATCAGATGGACGTCGACGAGTTTTACAACCTACTACTTGATCGCTGGGAGACTCAGCTTTCAGGCCACGATGAAAAGCGGGTCATGAAATCGTTCTATGGTGGTCAGCTTGTGCAGCAAGTTAAGTCAAAAGAGTGCGAACATATCTCGGAGCGACTCGAGCCATTTTCTGCGATTCAGTGTGATATCAAGGGAAAGGGCACATTAGCAGAAAGCCTCCAGGCATATGTGGATGGCGAGGTCATGGAAGGAGGTACGCAAAGTCCTATAGTAAGAAAACAGGAGATGCTGACCGAATAACCAGACAACAAGTACAAATGCTCAACATGCGACCGACATGTTGACGCGGTGAAAAGGTATTGGCCTCCCTCCCAGCGTGATGCCTCATAGTAGCTAATTTTTCTTAGGGCCTGTCTCAAAGATGTTCCCGACAATGTCATATTCCATTTGAAAAGGTTTGATTTCAACCTGCGTACCTTGCAGAGAAACAAGATCAATGATTATTTCTCCTTTCCGGATAAAATTGATATGCGACCATATACCATTGGGCATCTCAGCAACCCAACGACCGATATCGAGGAGGACATCTTCGAACTAGTGGGTGTGCTTGTTCACGCAGGCACCGCTGAATCTGGACACTACTACTCATACATTCGCGAGCGTCCCACCTCAAGGAATCGGCCCTTGTGGGTGGAATTCAACGATGACTTAGTAACGCCATGGGACCCTGCGCAGATGGAATACTCCACGTTTGGAGGTCCAGATAACCGTCCCATATATGATACTAACGGCATTCTGTACGACAAGAATTTTAGCGCTTATATGCTGTTTTACCAGCGTTCTTCATCCTTGCGCGCGGAACAGGAAAAGGTGCCGGCCCTTGTCATTCCGGCACCCCTTCGTGTTGACGTGCCAGACCACCTTGCGGATCATCTCTCAGACGAGAATACAAATATCCTCCGCCGCCATTGCATTTACGACCCGAGCAATGTCAAGCTTGTTCAAGCCCTCTTCCGTCAGTCACATCAACACTGCAGATCCATTGGCAGCTGCGAAAAAAGTTCGAGTATCAACAGCTTCATGGCTATGCGTAGTCAAGAGCATGGACTTCAGGATCTTACCATGCGAACGCTCATTGGTAATTTAGATCAGGTTGTCACAAGGACTAAGGACACTCCGGATTTTCTCTCATACGAAAAGGCTATCCAAGATGCAGTCACATCATGCGAGCGGTGTGCTTTTTCGTTCTATGAGTACTTCAATCAGCATCCGAGCGCTTTTCGCATGCTTTTGCAGCGTAATACAGATCAACTAGTACGGAGCAAGATCAAGAACCTTTTCAAGGTTGCAGTCACGAAGATCTCGACGGCTTTGCCTAATGTTTACGATCCAGAGATTCGATACAAGTTGGCTCATGATGCTGACGGAGATGAGACACTCTCTGAACCTGATGCTTCCCATCGCTCCGTTATTGACGGCGTAATGATGATATTCCAACACCTTTGGAAATTCTTTCATATTCACATTAGAGCCTGGGACGAATACTTCGGAGCTGTTCTAGACTTTGCTGATATGGGTCATCGGGAAACCGGATATATCTTGGCCGCGAACTTCCTAGCCAGCGCTATCAGAATCATTTCTGCTGACCCGCTCCAGGAACTCAGCGGGAACTGGGCCAGAATGCTCTCAAGTGTCATTAGGCGGAACAATACTACAAAGCCTACCTCGTATGTATCGATTATCAGACTAGTCAACCACTTGATGAGTCAGATGAGGCCGCAAATAGGAACCGAATATGTCGAAGACGCGACAGAGCGTGTGTCAAACCCAGCTGAGGCCTTCAGCTGGACAGCCGAAGAGGTGGATCTTGTTTACAGCAGTCCCAACGGTTCCTATACCAGCTTGTTTGTTGAAAAACTCCTGGCCCTCGATCAAGAACACGCAGGCAGCAACAATATCATCAGAATCTTGACAAGGCTGGACAGCAGTATGGATGAAAAAGTACTTGGGACCTTGAAGCTATGTATTCGTGGTGAGACTTCAACGCAGGCCATGGATCCGTTTCTGCGGGCTTCCATCACGTACCTCGAAAGCACGGAACAGCTCAGCAACGCCAAAGACATGATTGAGCACGTATCTATGCAAGCGAAAAGCCTTCAAAACACTGAGGGGGTGTATTTTGTTCAGCTCTTCAGAACAGCATTGGATCTCCGCCAACAAGACAGGGAATTTTGCAAGGCGATCCGCACGTTCAGCCGTGACCTCATCCCAAGATGGGTACCTTTTCTCCTCGCAAGCCCTGAAGAACAAGTGCGCCGGAGCACACATGACTTTTTAGTTTGCGAGTTGGGTAAGATTGATGCTGATGCAACCAGTGACCACGATGTCACCGTGGATGATCAAGTCTCAATCAGACAGATGATGAAGCAGACCGGTGTTATCTGTCTCCAGTATCTCAAGGACCACCATGTGCGCAGACGGGCTCAAATGAGTCGGGAGATTGCAGACAAGTTCTTGAAGGTAATTGAGGGGTGTGCAGCTACGGTGGCAACAACAGAGGATACACAAACCGAGCTAGATGTGGAACTCCTCACATTGCAGGAAGGTAGGTCACATTCCCTGCAATTTTATCCAGTATCGTTGACCAGAAGGCTCACATGTTTCACAGATGTTTTGAATCCCTTCCGCCGGCTCATTGTTGACGAACTGGAGGAAGATGGGTCCGGTATGTTACAGTCGCTCAGCGACTCCAGCACAATCATAACAGACTTGAGGTGATGACTGACGTTGGGCAAAGACTGGGAAGGATCCTGCGGGTCATCTGAACAACTTGATGAGATTGTTGAGATGAATATTCCAGGAATGAACGAAATAAACGATCTGGAGCAGATGTCATGAGGTTGGGATTATTCCCAAGGAATTCAGACGATCCACTGCGGTTGCTCGAAACCAGAACATTGCAACAGACACGGACACGGACACGGACACGGACACGGACACGCGTACACGGACAATGACGGAAAGGCGTTCAGCGGAAGATGAGTGAATTCTTATTTATGGTTTGCTTCGACTAGACCCTAGCTTAAAGAACAAGTGGGCAATGGATGGTTTATCAGGCTCATAACATCAATGTACAGTCATGGTGTCGAGGCAAAAGCGAGTGTTTCTGGGGCGAATTTGCATAGCAAGGAGTGATGGCGTCATGGAAAATAAGATGAACAGGATGAGGGAGTTATAGCTGAAACAGGCAGAGAAAGCGACGAGCTTCCAGTCTGTTCCTCAAAACCAGGACGGTATGAGACTCATCAGCTGACACATAGTCTGCTGGGTCAACGAATACACGACTACATGATCATGATAACCAGGTAGATGATCCGATAAGCCGCGGAGCATCTCCTGGTGCTCGGTAACCTTGAAATGAATTCACAGCCAGATTAGAACAGAGTTGTATCTGCTACCGCTAGATGAAGTGAGTTTGGCGCCATGTAGTTCTATGAATAGCGACTTGAGAAAAGCCTCTGATTGACGGGAGACCTAAGCCGAGTGACAGACGGAGGGGGGGGGAATGCTAGTTATTGCCTGTCCATTTCCGCACACAAATTGGACTGGGAGTAGGTGCTCTGAACCAAGTATTGAAGGTCTAGGTCGTGACGGTAACGACAGGCCTGGCCGGCGGCTGGCTGAAAAGCTATCTTTAGCTACCGGACCAAAATGGTGGCCAGCCTTACTCCGTACTTAGCACGCCAATGCTACGATGGCAACGCACAGGTATGCGAAAATTCGCAAGTTTGGAAACATGTCTCTATAAATGAAACAGCGAGGCTCTGATCTGGAGATGTGTTTCTGCTTGTCCTTGTGCGGTTGAAGCGTTTCAAGCGAGATGGTTTGTTTTGTTTTAGTTTGGTTCGGTTTGATTCACGATAACTTGGAACATATTGTTCACACATGTGCTCTTTGCTCATATCGGGCTACTACATTCACTGAAGGATGTCAAGGATCGAGTGTTGGTATCTACCAAGCTATCGAGATATTTTGACCCGGGAAACGGGAACTGTTGGTTCGGGGTCATACCCCGACTGCCGAGATCAGGAGCAGCGATCTGGTGTCGAGGTTATTGTAGAGAGGAAACGCAGGAACAGAACGTGGGAGTGGTGTTGATGGACAAGGATAAGAGACTGTTTTTAGAACAAGCAAGAATATGTAGATACGTGGGTGGGTACGGATACAGTATAGTCACCTAGATTATGGAGATCTGACCGTTGACGGTTGAGCTTGTCAGTAGAAACATGATCAATATTAAACTATTATACGTACAAGTGACAGTTATTAGTCTATCCCCTGCTCGATCAAAACCTGCGAGTTCATCGTCACACTCACATTCACATGCATGAATGCATGCATACAGCCACTCACATGCCTTGCCAGGCCGCAACGACCTTCTAAATTAAGTATAAGGCTAGATCTGGCCAATCACAGTCGCTTCTGTCAACCCCGCCAGCAGCTCAAAATAGTAGCCGAGCTGCCACTAATGCACGTTAGCCGCCGAGATCGCTTGAACTAAACCACATTGGCCACTCACAGCGGGGCTGCATCTTGATGTAAACCACCAAAGGTATCCTCTCCGTAAATCACCGCTTATTTGCTGATCAACTGCGAGTGATTGATGCTGCAATTCCCCCTTTTCCCCAATTCACGACAACAGAGCCTTACTCATCTTGGCACGCCTCCGTTTCAAGTTCCCCCCATGTCCACCCACATTCACCGAGGTTATCAGGCGGGCCACTCAGTGGGAGGCCACCAGGGGGAGGGGAAAAGTAGCTGGATGGTGAAACATAAACAAGCTGCCTTTCGTTCTTTTTTTAGATAGAGCATGTCCGGGGAAGAATAAGCTCGGACGCGGTCATCTCTTTTAATACTCGTTTCGTCCACTTGTTTCTCTCTGCTCTTGAAACTTTTCTGACGCAGGATCACGACGACGACGGGTTCACAATACCCATCATCAAGTTTGAGAGGATATCACAGCTGCTGTGCGGCTTTTTGCTCGGTTCGGTCACCTTGTTATATCTTCCTTCTTATCTCTCTTCTCTTCTTTTCGTTTCTCTCTTCTCAGTGTACCTCGTCGCCTGTTGGGTTTCCTCGTTCTTTGCCAGATCAGTTCAGTTCAGGCCAGGCAGGTCAAGTCGTCCTCTTTACTGAAGCACGACCTCACAACTTCAAAATGTCGCTCAAGGATAGGATCTCGTCACCCCTCGAGGCTGGTACCTCAATCCTCGATGCTCATCACCTGCCTCCTCATCTGGCACCGGCTCTCGAGCATGTATCTTCGCGTCTGGCCCGCAAGTCGCAGCATATCACGCTTGTTGTAGCCCGTCGGGATTATCAACTCCCTTCTGTTGTGCCCCCCAAGGGTCTGCTGACTCCGACGACTCCTTCACCACTGTCTCCTGGTCTTCGCTTGAACCTCTCTCAAGGTCCTGTCTCCAGGCTCAAATCGCTGGTGAGGACTGGTTCTTCAACATCCCTGAGGTCGATGAATTCTCCACGGAGTGCTTTGTCTTCACCCGGTCAGGTCCCCCCGCTCGAAGCCTCCAGCCCTCGGTTCAGATGGCCTCTTTCACCATCCACGCCAATGTCTCCTCCTCCCATGACACCTTGTACCGCATCATCGACCACCACCGATACCATGAGCTCAATGATGAGCGCTTCGTCAGGCTTCGGTATGCGACTTATCCACACCAATGAGCTCCACCCTAGGTCCGAAAAGATCCTCAATTCAATTCTGAGCAAGACGGAGAAGAAGTTCGCGATAGGGTAAGAGTCCTCGGCTCGGTTCTCCATAGAACATAACTAACTCGCCAAAGCACTGAGTGGCTATCACCTGCTGTGAGAGCTTCCTCTTGCGGGCTCACCAACCAGCTCATCCATAGCTCCATCATCCAGAACGAAGTCCTTTTCTGCTCCGAAGGCCTCACAGTTCTATCACTCGATAGATTGTACAGTCTCAAGAGTGCCTTGTCCAGCTATTCCAAAACGAAATCCCACCTCCGTCTCGAAGACGCCGTTGACGAACTCCGACGTATCATCCTGGCTACCAATGGTGCAAAGGTTTCGAAAACCGCCATCCTCCGATCGTATGACTGGCTGAGTGTGTCTAATTGGGCACTTGTGGACCTTGATCGTATGTATAGGCGGGCATATGGAGGGCCAGAGCAGTATGGTGGTATCTCGGGTCTTACTAGCTTTGCGGAGCCAGCCATAAAACCTATCAGCGACTCGCAAGAGAGATACAAGGAAGAAGAGGCTGAGGAGGCCACGGTAGGCCTGGCTGTCTCCAAAGGAAAGACGCCCTCGCCCAAGCCTCTGCTCAAACTCCAGACAAATTTCACTCCGGGGCCCATTCTGAAACCGAAGCCCAAGAAGATTCAAGTCCCAGCTCCAGTTTCGGTTCCAGCCCAAGCTCAGGCTCAGGCTCAAGCTCAAGCGCAAGCACCAACCCAGACCGAAGTAGAAGAGGAGGAAGACGGCGACCGCACGGCACGACCGACAGATCAAATGTATTTCACAATGCAACAATGGGAGCCACCTTCAACGATAGACCAAATCTTAACCGCTGGTCCCATCAATCGAAGCGCTTTCAGTCCCCTCACGCCAACAACGATCATGAGTCCAGCATCACCAAGATTTGGACCGTTAACGCCCCATGACTATGACGATATTTCGCCCACAACGCGAGGAGAATGGGGCTTCATGATGGCAGACAATGCCTTCCAGAGTGGTCGCAAGGCCGGAGTTGAGATCTTTTGATATTGTAGGCTTATTGGTTCTGATTTGTTCTTTATTTTTTCGGTTGCATGGCGAGCGTTTTGGCTTCAAAGACACCCCTTTTGTTCGATTGCGCGTATGCTTTGTTATTAGCTGGCATATTAGACCTCAGCACTATAGAGGATGGCGTATGTTTGTGGAGTAAATATGCTGGACGAAAATGGGGGGCGATAGAGAGTACCATTCTTGAATATATTGAACGAATATGGGTATCATTGTCATCACTACCATCCGTACTTGCTCCCTGCCTCCTTTCGGTTATTCTTCCCCTTGGCAAAACTATCCTCAAGAGCTTCACGCTGGCTCTGTGCATTCTGTACCAACTGGCGCAAGCTGTGCTTTCCACCTCCTTGGATCGCGCGCACAGGGTTGTGACTCTGTTCCTCTCCTGCGGCCCGAATCTCTTCGTTGTGTCTGTATTCCTTATCCATGTTGAAATTGATAACTTTCTTGGCTGCTTGGTTGCCCATGCCATTGCGGCCAAAGAGTTCTCTTCGTTGAGCGGCAGTAAGGTTTAGGTCCTCGACTACTGTATCAAGGGACTCAGAGCCTGGTAGCGTTGTTGCAGATGGACCTGCTTGCGCATGGCTGGCATAGTCGCCATATGCGCCTTCGTCATAGGCCAATGAGCTTTCTGCTGTCGCAAACATTGGTTCGTAAGTCCCTGAGGAACTCTTTTCTGCAGGTTCCGAAGGCTCTTCTGTGTGCAAAGAGAACAGCGACACCTTCTTGCGAACGGCTGGCGTGGCCTCTGGTGTTGCCTCAACCGGTTTCAACGGAGCCTGTTCATCTGTGGGAGCCGGCGCTGGTTTTGCCAGCCCTGAGTTCAGTTTCTTCTTCTTCTGGGGGTTCCTTGCCACAGACAGAGGCTTGAACATCAATGGTTTGCCCACCAACTTGACCTCGTCTGCTGGTTTTTGTCCTTCAGGTATATGTGGTTGCGCGGCAGTCTTCGGTGTCGGTAGGCTCATGCCGTCTGCATTGTCACCTGAATTGTTCAGATCGCCTCCTGCTTCTCTACTGAATCCTGGAGCTGCGCTAGTCTTGAACTGAAAGCTTGGTCTCGTTGTCGAACTGCTCGACGCCACTGGCTTGGGCTTGTTCGCGTTCTTGGGTGCTGGTAGAAACGAGTTGAAGCCGGAGAACCTACCGCCACCGGCAGTCTTGGTCCGTTTTTCTGGAGGTTCTTCGGCTTTCGGTTTATCGTTGGCGAGCTGAGGGAGGCTGACAACGATTTTGCCAGGGTTGGATCTATCGACAACCTTTTGGAAAGGCTTTTTGGAAGACGCAGATGATTTGGGGACTGATTTGACAGGAGCTTGAACTTCGGCTTCGGAGCCTGAGCCCTCCGAGTCGGAATAGTCGACAAGGCCCATGGCGGTCGATTATTCAATTAGTTAGTTGGTGTGATAGTGAAAGTACGAAAGAATCGCGACATGAAGTTGAAAGGTTCCACTTCTAGCATGAAATGCAGCCACATCTTGACGAGGCTGTGCTCCACACTCAAGGGTAAGGTGAGTTCAGATAAGGTGTCAGGGTGTCTAGGTACCTGTAGGTGCTCCCTAAACTACCCCACTGTTCAACTCGTGCTCTAGCAGTTACAGCGATGATACAGTCCCTGCTTTAGCTTCTCGATATCCTGACAACTCACAACTCACGGTTCGGGGCAGTGTTAAACATGTTGAAGCAGTTTCTCGGCTCTCAGGAATCTCTTGACTTCACAGGGTGAAGCGATCACGTATAATTAGTCGCGACTATGTCCGTCATACAACTTGAAGAGTGCGATCATGTCTTCGGTAATGGCTTTACACAGATTCACAGGCTGACGTCCCGTCCAGACTCGTCTCCTACCAGCTTCGCACAAGCTACCTTGATGAGATCGCAGACGGTGTTGGAGAGCGACTCCTAAACGTCAACGATGGCTTCATAAACTCGGCTCCCTTTAAAGCCGCTGGCTGGCGGCCGAATTCGTCCCACCACAAGCGGACGCATTCACCTCCGATTCCTACTGCGATTGCCTCCGAGTACTTCCAAGCACCAAAACAGGCTGGCCTCACACTCGAAGATGGGGAAGAAGATGGCGGTATGCTCACTGCGGGCGGTTCGGATACTATGGGCCCAGGAATGGCTACCAGACGGCGCAGGCGTCGCGAGCAGATGGAGGAAGAGGACAGTAGTGACTTGAGCGACGAGAGCGACGACGACACGGACCAGCGGGCTGCGCAACAGATCAAGTTTGCAAAAATGCCGGTCAGACACAGGGCGGGCTCATCACCACTACAGAACACCAACTTGAGGCAAGTCGGGGCTGTCTCACCAAGGGCGCCTCGTCGAGGCTCACAGTCTGCTTTGATAACAGTGCAGGAGAGGCCCCGGAGAGACACAGTCACCAGCAGCGAGATATCATCCGAAAACGAGACCGATATCCCGACAGTCCAGAGGCATCGAGAAGCTGCTCGCGCTGCAGCAAGGGCTGCGAAGCTGCAGGCTAGAATTCTAGAGGAACCCTCGCCCGGTATTCAACGAGCGGACACATCTCTCTTGCCAGAGGAAGAGGAAGATTCCGATGAGGCTTCCGACTTATCTGATAACTACGCCGAGAGTATAGACTCGGCATCGATTCTTGATGGCGTCGAAAACGCCATCAATGCTTCTCCCACCCGCCAGGTTGTTGGAACACCCCCCAAGAACTTTGTACGCCAGTCTACTATTCGCAAATCCAAACCGCCGGCGCACCCCATTGTCCTCGGAGCATTACCACCTCCTAGGCCGATGAGCATGATCAGACCTTTGAGCGTCGCCCAGCCCAAGAGTCTGCTGTCAGCCGCCCTAAAAGCCAAGGACAAGAAATCGTCTATTCCCTTCCAGAAGTTCGCCCATTTCAGCGGGCAGGGAACGCAAGGTTCTATTGCTGTGCGTATATATGCACCTTTCTCAAAAACACCCAGCAAGCCATTCCAGGTGCTTATCCGCCCACGTGTTCACGACGGACAAGGTGCCGAGCGGGTGGTGACGGTTGCAGACCTCATCGGCTTGAGTTTATACCGATACAATGAGGAGAAACTCGAACCTCCGTTGCCCAAGGGCAAGCTCAATATTAACTGGTGGACTCTACGTATGGTGGAAGAAGGTGGTGAAGTTGACGACGATTTCCCCCCCTTTGAAAGAACGAAGCCGTTGACATCTTTTACTACGGTTAACAATGCTGCTGCGCGCGGTGGAGGCCGCATGCGATCCAATTCAACTGCTTATGACGACTTTGCGTTGGCAGAAGCTTCAGAGGAGGAGTACCTTGAGAATAAGTCACTCACCCCACAAGAAGACGAAGAAGAAGAGCCAGCAACTTCGCAGGATAGCGGCGGCGGGGTTCCTCTCACTCCTACGGAGCCAGACGCGGACGCAACTCCCCGAGGCACTCCAGGGACGGCTATTAACCCGTTCCTTTCGGAACGTCCGCGACAAAATCCTATCGTCACAACGACATATCGGTCGAACGCTCCCCCAGCAGACATACCTCAGGCACCTGCTGCAGCTCCCAATACGTCCCGCGGGCAGCAAAAGCTGCTTCGGATTCATATCATGTCATCAGATGTCGCACCGGGTCAAATGGTGACACTAGATGTGATGACTGATACTTACTTGGCTGAGGTGCTGGACATGGTATGCCGAAAGAGACAGTTAGATAAGGCCAACCATGTTCTTAAGCTTCCTGGATCAGGAGCGGTAGTCATGCTAGACCGGCCAGTTTCGTCCATTGGGAATGTCTCAGACTTGGAATTGTACAGGCGACGATTTGCAACAGATGGTCCGTTGACGATCACCGGCTCGCCGGGCAGTTCGTCCCCGAAGATGCTGCCTTTGGCCGAACAGGCCATGCAGAAACGCAGCAAGAAGTCACAAACGCCAATGGTCGGAAGCCATCCATTGGCGCGAGAATCGCTGAAGCAAGATGAGCTCAGCAACGCCAGCTACAAAAAGTACACTGTCTGGCGCAAACAGCCCATGCGCATCGTTGGCATGAGCGAACGCATTCTCGTGATCGACGGCGAGTACATTCATATCATGCCAGCGTCTGGCGGTAAGGCATTGCATGACGGGTCAGGCAAGACAACAACGGTGCACTTTAGTAACGTGGTTGGGTGCAAAGTCCTCCGGAAACATCCTACGAATGTCAAGGTGAGAGTTTACTGTTCTTTGGGCTTTGGGAACCATTCTAACAATGCCGCGCACAGCTTGTTGTGTATAAAGCAACTGAGAGTAAACGATATGACTTTGAGGCCCGTAGTGCATTGGAAGCGGCTGAGATAGTGGAAGAGCTAAAGAAGGGCATGCCTAAATGAGAGGGATCGCAGATCCGAATGCCCTTGGGTGTTAGCAAGCCGTTGACACACTCGCCAGATTCCAGACTGCATAAGCACTGAAGACACGAAGGCGATGGTGCAGGCAATCCACCGGAATTCCTCGTTGTTTCCACACCACTTGTACGTATATGTCACTTTGAATACATAGAAGCAAATGGACTTGGGCTTGCCTCTTTCGCTTGTGGGCAGAACCTCAATCCCAATGGCGATCGAAACGACATATTTCGTTTAAACCATGCCATACTTGAACGGACATTGAGCCATACTTTGATCAGTCCACAAATATTTTTATTGCATTGAATCTCAATGAGAAGCGGTGTCGGCTACAGCGTGAGAAGCGAGGCTGAAAAAGCTGCTTGAGTTATTGGCAGACCATGCTCGGTATAGTCTTGGCTAGCATTGGCCAAGACTGTCGAGCAAGGCAGTAGAATGTCGAAATGTCGATCCAAGGTGCCAAGCCGGGGTTATGGCAACAGGATACATATCATGGAGCACTGAAGATGAGGAGAGATGGAGTTGATGTGGAGACTTGGAGGGGGCGTGTGTGGCGTTGAGCCAAGCCGGCCACGACAGGGGAAGCTCTCAGATTGGATCAGGCCAGTAGAGAAGAGTCAAGAAGTG